TATGTAAATAATGTAAACAATCATCATGGAGCTCTTGAAAAAAATGTTTTGAGCAAAACTTTGAGGCAATCACTGAATTCAGAGGTTTTTTTGTAACCTTCCAGAAATGTTCAGTAAGACTTCTGGACCAGTTGACTGGTTGTCGGTTGGTTATTTTTTCAGATTTTTTGTAAATTCAATTACTAGTTTGAATTTATCATTCTCTTTAGTGGGAGGGTGTGTAAACTTTCAAGCAAAAGTATATATCCAATGATAAGGTCTAACCAGTCCAGTACATGGACTGGTTAGATGGACTAAAAGAGCCCTCAGTGAAAAAGAAGTATGCTTTGCTGCAAGACTGACTGATGCTCTTCAAAAACAGATAACCTCATGAAGAGCAAAAACTACCGAAACAAAAACATGTACCATGGCACTGAACCGGTTGTAGAACCTCTAAATGGACAATCGTTGTCTTTAAGAAATTGCAGTCTCAAAACAGCAATATTGATATTCTTTAGCAACCATAGCAAAGCCTTGATCTTTGTCCAACAGACAGCTTGCTTTATTCTGGTGTTAAGTAAGCAGTTTTGCTTTTAGAACTGAGTTAAAACATATAATGTTAATGTCTGATAGAATTACAGCAGGGGGAAAAAAGGCCATAAGTAGCGCTGTGCAAAATGGCTGGAAAATGTCTCACGATATAAACTTTTATCTTAGTCCATATTGATGATTATTGATTGAGTCATTTTTCTTTTACCTGTTTCAAATAAGGACCTATTTCAATTAGAGGTATAATATCACCTGGATGGACTCACTGGGACCTTTCTGGCTATGTAAATAAATACTTTTATGTTATTAGTATGTAGTATAACTACAGTGCATTGACTAGCAAGGTACCAAACATTAGGTAAGCTTGTTGAAAGAAAAAAGTACATTAAAAGTCAAATGGAGTGTTTTCAATTTGAAAGGAAACAATAGTAATACCGTTGCAAACCACTGGCCAAAAGCCAAAAGGGATTAGGTGTTACTGATAATTTTCTTTTCTCCTTAGTGAAAAATGCTCATTTAAAATTGGCAGAACCCAGTCTGTGAGCATGTGTTTGTTTCAAGACGATACAAATTGTAGCATTAAAACAATGACTTGGATTTAAGTGAATTTAAATGTGTTGTGTTGCTGTTGGCGGCTATCCTTATGATAAAACCCAGCTGGTATTTCCTAGTTCCATTTGCCAGAAGGATCTTTTCATTATTTCTTGCTTAAATGGTGAAAACAATCGAGAAGATGCAAAGTGGCACCATGTCACCTCCTCGCTCGGTATACTCACAGCCTTGTATCTGACCAGCAAGTGTTTAATTGGAGATCCACCGTCGTCCTGCTTGGTCCACTTGATTTTCACAGTGTTACTGCTCTTTATAGGCATGACTTCTAGTAAGGGAGCATTTGGTTCCCCTGCACAAGAACAACACATTATAGTTAGTTGCATCAATCTACAAATAGCTTTTTTTTATTTGTATATTATCATATTTATGGTAACTGTATGTGTCCTTGTCTATGTGTAGCATCTCATCTCTGAAACAAATTCCTCAAATGTGTCACAGAATTTGTGCATTTTAAAATAATGTATATAGTCTTAAAAATTTGTTTTGATATATCATAAAAACTGATTTTTCATAAAGAGAATATTCTATAACAAAAAGAGTCTGACTTGAGCTGATTATGAAGGAGCTTTATAAAACATCGGTGAATTGGTGCTAGAAAGTGTTGAAGGGACTTCTTAGTCACATAAGAAAGCTGGCTAAAAGGTTTAAAATATTAATTTTCCAATATTGTAACATCTCCTTTTGAAACAATTAAACACCAAAACATTAATGTTTTTTTTTTTTTATGCACCACAGTAAAAAAAATAGCCTAAAGAAAATGGCTACTTGGCTAAATTTGGCCAATTAGAACAAATATTTAACATTTTACCCAGCATGTCTAAAGCCGATGGTTTGCTTTAGACATGCTGAAAATTCAAGATCTTATTTATATACTACACATGTCCAGTATTACTTTATAATTGACTTCCATACCATTACAATGGAACGTCAACAACCCACCAATAGCACTCGCTAATTTAATGCTCAGCTTTGTGTTTGCCATATGCTGCACAAAGGATCATACTGCAAGCACTCTGCAGCTATTCAGATACTAAAGTGTAAATTAGATCAGGTTGCAATTTTGCTGTAACTACAGCCGTGTTATTAAAAAAAAAAAATTATGACAGCAATGACTAAAAAGAAACATGTAAATCAAATTCAAAGATAAGGAGTAGGAGCTTAAGAAATTAATCAGTTAATAATAACTGAGCCCAATAAAGCCAAGTCCTGCAGGGATTTGCATCTATTGGAAGTGGCAAATCTAAAAGAGCAACTAAGCTTCAGACCTCCTCCCACCAAAAGAAATGTCATTATAAAAGATTCATATGGGGCCAAAATTGTTGCTTTATTACTTACAAATGTGTGTGGAGAGTTGTATATCTGTATCTCGATTTGTGCGTGTGCA